GTTCGGAGCAGGGTGCGGGCCGGGCCGGGCTCCGCGGCGCATCCCGCGCGTCCCGCGGCGCGGCCATCGCACGGGCTGGGAGCTCCCCCTAGTCGCCAACCCCCGCCACTGGCAGGCTCCGCCAGGCTCCGGCAGCCGGAGAAGTTTATTTTGGAAAGTCTTTTCCATCAACAAACAACACAAAGGGCAAAGAGACGCAGGTAGGAAATGCGGGAGACGAGCTAATATCGTGTGCGAGGCGTTTTGGAAGCGGAGAGGTTTGCTCGTAGCGAGCTCAGCCCTGGGAAGAGCAGCTGAAGTCAACCAGAGTCTATAAATGATATCAAAAAATTTGTCCCACTACTTCGAGCGCACACTTCTCTAAGTCATAATTATTGCCAAATATGCCACAAGACTACCCTTTGTTCTGGAGAGAAATACACATTTTGTGCAAAATAAGGGCTTTCACCATTTCTGTTAAAGGCAGCCAGTTTGTGAAATCTTGAAGAGTATTATTTCTCAGTATTTAAATAAGCCTGACAAAATATGCTCTGCATCTGCCGACCAGAAAAAAAAAACTGTAAAATGGTTTCTCACCCACTGTATATCTATTTAAGCCACGGGACACACCAACCAAAAAGGACAGAACGCACAGCCACAACCTAGTCACTCTACAGCAGTTTTAAAAAATATTTTTGAAGAACAGAAACTATGAAAATATGTCAGTATTTTTTTTACTTATCATCTAAGCCCAATACAAATATATTCAAATGAAAGACAACCTGGAAGTCGACGGCATGCAACCTTTATTTTCCCCTGTCCTATTTAAAGTAAACACATGTAATGTCTTTTAAAAGGCTGTGCTTTTCTGTGCACAGCCATGCAGGTATTATGAAAAAGTCATCCATCCTTAAAATAATAGTAATTTCCTCTCTAATTCTTCAGTCACAGCTTACATTCTCTTTGTATTAGAGTTGATTACATTGGTGTGGGTTTTGTTCTGCAGGGAAAGTACGTTAATTACACTAAATCTAAATGCATTTTAAGAGAAGCTCCTTGGAGCAATTTGCAAAACTTTGACATGCAAAAAATCATAGGGGTTTTTGTTATGATTTTTAATGACTACGTACAAAACAAAGTGATACAGGAAATTATTGCTCTTCCTAGGAAACCTGTTGACCAGGTACTGAAGACCTGCCTTGGGAAACCTGGTTCTCTGCCTGGAATTGTATGATTTTCCTGTGCCTTTCCCTCTCAATCTTTGCTGCTGCTCTACAGAAATGTTCTGGTTTTGCCGCCTTCTGCAAAACTGCTACCAGCGAGATTTTCACATGCTCTTTCCTTTCACATTTCCTTCAAATGCAAAATGCAGGGCTAGCTTGAAAACAGATTCCTTAAGTTAAAAATGGAAGATCTTAAGCTGGAAAATCAGCAATTTGAACAAAACCAAAATAACATTTCTTTGCACAGAGCAGCTCAACACTTCAGCCTCCTCTTCTATACATAATCAGTTCTTTTGCATTGTCCACCCATTTAAATGAGCTTGGCTACCAAGTTTGCTCTGTCAACCAGTGGTGAAGAAAGGTCCAGAGATGCTTTTTTCTCACCATGTGTTTCACCTCTTTCTTTTGTCCTGCACATACACGGTTACAAGGCTGCCTGGGTGAGCCTGACAAACACAGGCAGGCCACTCCGTTTTGCAGTCTTAAAGACCACTGTGCTAATGAGATGCTGCAACTCTGGAGCACAACTACATTGCACTTTCTCTCCTTTTTGAGTTTGTTTGTCTTACACTCAGAATCTAAACGTTTATCCAAACACCAAGTGGATGAAACCAAATAAACTCCAGCTGAACAGTGTTAGAAAACCCATCTCTGTCTGTCTCTCTCCCCATCTCTCTGCCCATCTCTTTCCTTGCCTGGCAGAGACCTCCAATCCATCCTGAAATGCAACTCCCCTTACAGATGCCAAAAAGGGAGACAGGGCGAAAAAGCCCAAGCTAAACACAACATAAAAGCAAGATTTTTGAAAACAATATCAATTCATCCTGGCTTTGGGGTCTTGGCTTGGGATTGACTCTATTTTGTTGTAAGTGCTTTGGTTTCCTATTCTGTTTGCCCACTACTTTCCAAACTCCCCTTTAGAGAGGACACTGTCTGGCTGCTTTTCCCCCATGAATGACACTTCTCAAGGAGTGCAGAGACTGCGACCCCCTCTCCTGCACGCCTGCAGCTGAGGGTTAGACCTGTGCGCTGCAATCCTGCGCTCCTGCTCCCCAGCCCCAACCCCAGCCCGACGCAGCTCCCCCCGCGCCCCCGCCTCCCACCACCTCCTCCCCTGGATACCTTCATTTTTTTCTGCCACTGTTCAGTATGCAGCCTGATTTCTCCGCCAGCTTCCTCAGGATGGAGAGATAGATAAATACAAGAGGGGAGGGAGGGAAGCTCGTACAGCTCTGCTCTCCATTCCTCCCCCAGCCTTCCCGCTAAACCCATTGTACACGCAGCTCCTCGGCACCTTTGAATACTCTCCTGCCTCATTATTTATCTTCAAGTAAAGCGATCGGAAAAGGAGATCAAATTGGAATAACAAACCTACCTGACTCTCTTCTCCACCCCGTCCCCCCCCTCCCCAGCAGCAACAGCAACGAGAAAATAAATGTTTCACCCATTGAAACAAATTCAGACGTGCGCAACAAAACAGATTTTCCGCACACCCCCTTTCAACACCCCACATCTCCTCGCAAGTGAGACAGAAAATAAGTGGGAGAAATTACACTGGAAGATTTAGGTGGCTGTTGATGCTTTTTCTTTTAAAAAGAAAATTAAAAAACTGAAAGGGGAGAAAAATAAAAAGGCACCAACAAAAAGGATAAGACATTTTCCGAACCGGATGGTTAAAATCAAAAATGCAATTAACGAAGGGGAGGGAGTTGAGGAAGGGGGAAATCCACCTTTTATGGTGATGCAAATCTGGTTCCAAAATAACAATGAATTAAAAACAACCCCCCCAGAAAAAGATTAATCCCAGATGCATCTTTATCAAGGTTCCACCAGCTGATGGGCTGGAGGTGGGGTGAGGGGTACTTTTTGAAAAATAAAGACGCACATAAAAATGCATATGTATATATATATATGTGTGTGTGTGTGTGTGTATGTATATATATATATCTATGAAAAAAAAAATACAGAAACGGCGAAAGAAATTTATATTTCGGAACTCAAACCGTCCCCCAACAGCCTTCCGCTATGAAAAGAAAATCCCAATGGAGGTGGAAAAATTATATAGACATATATATCTCGAGTCCCAAGGAAATCTTACAAACAGAAATTTATCACCGGTAACAAAGAAAGAGAGGAGCTCGCAAGCACCAAATGCTCCTGGCAGATGGCTCCTATTCTTGGCTTTCAGGGGAGGGGAGAGAAGCCGGGGAAATATTTTATTTATTTATTTAAATTTTTTAAAATCTCAACATAAATATTCGGATCCGCCGCGGCTCAGGCTCAGCCCCGGGCTGGCTCCGTGCGAGCCGCCGCCCCCCGCAGCACAACAACTTGCGGACTCGTTTTGCGGGGCGGGGGGGGGGGGGCAGGGGTCCGACCGGGCTTGTCGGGTGCGGGGCCACGGCGTGCCGGGCATTTTTTTTTACCACCCCCCAAACTCGTCCTATGCTATATAGGAGGGAAATGGGGACCCCCCCTGACCTCCCCCTTCCCCGTGCCCCGGAGGTGTCGGAGCAGCGGGGAGCGCTGGGGGCCGCACGCCCCCGGAGGCGCCCCCACATTTCCCCCCCGCCTCGCTGCACGGGCCCCGGGGGCCGGGAGCGGCGGAGCGGCGGAGTGGGGCGCCCGCTCGGGGACCTGCCCCCTACTCTGCCTGCAGGCACTCGTCCCTCTCCCGGAGCTTTAGGGGTGGGAACGGGGAGGAGGGGGATTCTGATGCTGGGGGGAGGGGGGATGCCTCTTTCCCTCCCCCCCTCTATTTTTTCCTTCCCTATTTTTTTTTGGGGGGGGGGGGCGTAAGGGGGGCGGGAGGGAGTATATGTGTGTATTTTCACTTACAATGGGAGCTTCAGCAAAGTGCTGCCTCCACTCCTGCCCCGCAGGCGAGCCGGTGCCGCTGCCCGACCCGCATTTCGTGCACTCCATCCCCGGTCCCCGCCTCGGCTTTCCTCGCGCCCCCCGCCACCGACAGGCACTCCAGCCCGCACCCGGCTCCTAGGCAGCCCCTGCCCTGCCTCTAGCCCCAGCCGAGCTGGTCCTGCCTTGCCCCGCGCTTCGGAGAGTTCTTTTCCCCCGCGGGCGATGCACCTGGGGCGGGCAGGGCGCAGCTGGCCGTCTACCTGCCCCGCGCTCCGGTGCCGGGGGGCTACGCCGGCCCACAGCCTCCATGTGCTTCCCGCTAAGTCCCCCCGGCCGTTCCGCGTCTCCCTCCCTTGCTGCCCACCTTGATCCTCCTTCCCCCACCCTCCGCGGCTGTCACGCCGAGGCAAGGGCTCTCGGCCAACTTTTCCCACCGCTCCGTGTTACCCCCGGAGCAAGGAGCGAGGAGCGGGGCCGCGGGCGAGCGGCGGAGCCCCGGCGGGGTGGCCCGGCGGGGCCCGGGGTGGCCCGGCCCGGCCCGGAGCAGCGCGCCCCGCTCCGCCGCCCCCCGCACACGCAGCCGCTGCCCGGGAGAGCCCCGCGCCGCCCCACGCCGCGCTCTGCCCGCCGGCAGCTCCTTCCCCGCTCCACGCCGCCTGCCCTCCCGCCTGCCTGGCCGCCTCACCTCCGCACCGCTGCAAAAACGCACGGCAAACTTCGGGCTTCTCCCCCCCTCCACCCCCAGCCCATCCCCCCCGCCGCACACCCCCCTCCCCTCTTTAATTCCCTTCTCCTCTCCCTCTCTCTGAAGTCATTTACCAGCTTTGGTTGCTCCTGGAGTTTCCCCCCCACACGCGCCCCCCCTCCCCAACCGCTTCCTCCCCTTCCCTAATTTTGCTTCTCGATTTCGGCTCGTTCTGGTTCCAAGTTCAAACTTACGTGTGATAATCTCTCTTTGTGACAAGTGCTGCGGGTTTCCCTGCTTGCGACGGGACATTGCCCTGGCATTTACACTGGCATCGCCTGGAGAGCTGCACTGGTTTGGGGGGATGTGCTGGGGGGCCGATCCTCCTCCTCCTTTTTTTCCCCTCTTTATTCTTCTTCTTCTTTATCGAGTTCTTCTTTCAAAAAAATCAAAAACGAAAAAAAAACCGCCTCCTTTTTGTTGCTGCTGTGGTGCACTGGTTGGGATTCCCTCTCAATTAAAAATCATCATCATCATCATCAGGAAAAGCTCTTTCTCGCTCTTTTTCTCTTTCACACACTGTCTTTTCTCCACTGCTTCTGCCACTTGGACTTCCAGATCTCTTCTTGAACTTAGGAGGATGTGCACCGCCAGTGACACTTTTCTCTTTCCCTCTTTCCAGAGTGCTTGGCAAATTGGCAAGTTCGCTTTTCCACCAAGAGGGTAAAAAAAAAAAAAAAAAAAAAAAAAAAGGAAAAAAAAAAAAAAAAAAAATTTAAAAAAACTGTATAAAAAAAAAAAAAAAGAAAAGTACTAGAATTGGGATAGCCCCCACTCAAAAAAAAAAAAATCGCCAAAAAAAATGTTTCTCAGAGATTGACCCTTGCTGGGTAGATATACAGAGAGAATTTTTTTAAAAGGGGTAGCCGAAACTGTGTCTCCTCTTTCCCAGTTCAAGTGGCACTGCTTTGCCCTGGTGCTTTTGGATTGCCAGTGCTCCTGCACCACTTTGCACTCTTCCCCCCTCGCCTGGCACTGGGACTGGAAGGAAGGAAGCCCCCAGTGCAGCTGGGCTGGTGCTGGCTATTACTATTATATATTGCAATGTGAAGATGGCGGAGTCCTGGTTCTCTGGGAGCGCTCTGTCTCTCTATGGCTGGGGCTGCCTCTGTACAATGGGATAAAATTCAAGTTCAAGTGCGGACGTGACGTTTAATCTGCACTAGAGACAAAAAGACCCAGAGAGTAGGAGCACTGGGGGCGACTAGCGGTGGCTTTTTAACATTGTACCCTGCAAGAGAACAAGAAACGCCACTCGCACACACCGCACACACCGCACACGCACACACACCGCACACACACCAACTACGGCACACGCAGGGCTCGCCGCCGCTCCGGGCTTTGTGCAGCGCCGCTTTCGGTGCGCGGAGCGCCGGCGGCCAGGGAAAGAGAGGGGGGAAGGAATAAATCCGCATCCTCACGCACGGCCAAACTTCCTGAGCCCGGCGCCGGCCGCGGCGGGGGCGGCTCGGCCGGGGGAGGGTGCCGGGGTCCGCGGGGGGCGGCGGCGGCGCTGCCTGCCCGTGCCGCGCTGCCCGCCCGTGCCGCCGCCTCGCCGCCGCTCATCGCGGCCGCCGCTCTCCGCCGCCCGGGCTCGGCGCTGGGTCCTGCTCCCTCCGTCCCTGCCCAGGAGCGGAGGCTCCCCAGGGGTCGCGGGTTGCTCTTCCTTCCCTCCAGGCACCGCCGCAGCTCCTCGGCGGCGAGCGCGTTCCCCCTGCATTTCTTTCAAACAGTTTTACAACAACACAAATATCTGTGTGGGCTGGGGAAAGGGATTTTTTCCCCCTCCTCTCTCCCTACCCGAAGTGCGATGGTAGCGGGACACGCGCGCACACTCGATCCGCACACGCACACACGCTCCGACCTTCTCCCACCCCCCAACCCCCCTTCCCTTAAAATCCTGGCAGAGACTATTTTTCCTTGGAGAAATTAATTCTCAGCCACGAACGGAGAGACGCCGAGCTCCCAGAAGCTGCATCCCAGTGCACTTGTCCTCCTATTTCACACGCAGGTAAATGCCCACAACTGCGTGCGTTTCTAACTTGGAAGATTCTTGGAAGCCAACTTTCTCCCCTCTACCTCCGTTCTCCCGGCCCATCTCCAGAGATTGTTTTCTCTCTCCCTCCTCCCCCGATAAGTAAACAGTTCGCAAATAGCTTTTCAGCACCAGGTCTGGCCAGGGCGAGAGGAACGGGGAGAGGGGAGGCCTGAGGGCTCGGAGGCAGATGGAGCAGAAAACCAAGGAACCAGCCTGTACCCGGAGCCCACTTGGAGACCCGCGCCGCACTCGTGTCATTTACTTTCCACGTTAAATGAGTGTTTCCCGTATTAAATCGCATGAGAGTCTTGAGGGGACCAGAATTCATCTCGGTGCCCTTAATCAGCTTTGAGAAGAATTTGGCTAAACAGCATCGCTCTCGCCTCCTCCAGCAAATCTGCCTCTCCCTCCCCACGCCCGCCCGCCCGCTCACAGCTCGCGTTCCGGCGCTGCCAGACCCCGCAGCCCGGCCCGGCGAGTGCCGAGGGCGGCGGGCACCCCGGCCCCGGCCGGTGGGCGCCGGGCCAGCCTGGCACTGCCCTCCGTGCCCGCGCCCGGCCCTCCGCCTCTGCCAACGCTCCACAAACACGTCCAAGAACATTAAATGCGCTTAAACTGCCGCGATTGCTCGCCCTGTGTGTTCGGTTTGTTCTGCGGTGTCCTGCAAAGGAAAATGACCGTGGTGATGGCAGGGGCCCCGCCACTGAGCGGGGAGAGACAGGTCCACGGCCCCGGCCCCCCGAGAGGGAGCCCCCGCTCCTGCCCTGCGGGGCAGTCGTGTCCGAGTCGGGGTAAAGGATGTGGCACCATCGCAGGGGACCTGGAGGGGAGAAGAGCCTCCCCTCGCTGACCTCCGCCCCCGCGGGAAGGGGCCCGGGCCGATCGGCCGGGATGGAGCTGTCCCCACGCACGGCTGTCCCCGCTTTGATGCCGCTGTGCTGGCGGCTGGCGAGGCCGAGAGGCTTTGTGTGGCTGCGCTGCTGCGCTCAGCGCCGCCCGTCCCCGGCCACGCCGCGGGGCTGCGGCCGCGGGGCCCGTGTGGGGTGCAAAGTCCGGCCGCGGCCGCCGCCGCTCTTCGGCGAGCTGCAGGAAGCTGCACCCCTTGGGAGCGCGGCTTATCGGGAAGTTACTGGGCATCATCTGTTGATTAACCAGTGTCTTCCAGTGGGCACCGAGAGCAGGAGATAAGGGCCGGCAATGATTGACCAGGCGGACTCCCCGGCTGCCTGGGGCAGCGGGGCCGCCGCAAGCCTCCTCCCGTCCCTCCGGCTGCGGGCAAGGCTTCAGGAGTTGACCCCCAGCCTGCCTCCTCCTCCTCCTCCTCCTCCTCAAATACATCCCAATAGAGGAAAAAAAAAAAATTCCAAAGTGATTTCTCAGTCTTCTCTTTCCTCCCCTGTCTGGCACTTGTGATCATTAGCACTGAAAGCTGTTAATGTCTTGTCTCACAGCTCCCCCTTTAGTCTCTCTGCTCTCCCTGTCTCGCGTTCAAAGCCAGATCAATAGCAGGCTCTTTCTAACCTTGACCTATCCCTCGACCTGCCTCCATCTGCAGCTGGCCCCGCGCTTCTCTCTCTTCCCCACCCGCCGCAGCAGCCCCTTGAGGGGCCCAGTGTGGCCGGGGGCTGCCCGGGCGGCCCGGCCCCGGCATCGCCCCGCTTTGTCCCGAGCTGCGCGGCCGCGCTGGGCGCTCGCCGCCGGCACCGGGGGCTGAGCCCCCGCAGCCTCCTCCCCGCTGTCCTGGGATGAGGCCGAGCTCCGGCCTCCGCCACCGGCCCGCAAACTTGGACGGCAGCTCCCCAGGACAACAACAATACACCCAACCCCCCCCACAAAAATATGTCTAAAAGAAAGAATAAAAGGCCAAGCAAAATGGGAGCATCATCTGCAAGAAGAAAACAAGCTTTTTGCTAGCTTTAAAAGTACTATGGTCACTTGTTTTAAATTAGGGGAGAGAAAGCACTCTCTTGCACTAAATATCTTGTATTAAGATAATAATATTTTCTGTTTTCATAATATGTAAGGGACTTGAGGAGTTCTCATAAAGAAACATCATCCTTATAGGGAAAAATAAGCTCATCTGATGTCAAATATTCCATTTTATCCTATATACAGCAAGGCATGCTGAGTCGAAAACTCTCAGCCCAGAGGCTTCTAGTTTTCGTTTTCTTTTTTTTTTTTTTTCTTTTTTTTTTTTAATTGTGCAACGTTTTTAGCTAAAATTTGGCACGGATATAGATGCATAAATAACATCAGCATCAGTGTAAAGAGGAAGTCCAAAGATCCTTATGGAGAATAATCTTGATGTGCCACGTGGAGATATTCTGAATGCATTTCCACTTTCACCCCATTTGGTCAAACAACTTTTCAGTGGAAGAAAAATGGTAGTTGCAGATTCTGTGTGATGTCATTTTGGTTTCTGCTCAGTCTCTAATGTGAAAGCTTATGCTAAGTTAGAAGCAAATTGTTTTTGATACAGGTGTGGAAATTGGGACAGTATGGGGGGAGAGAAGGGAGGGAGGGAGGGAGGGAGGGAGGGAGGGAGGGAGGGAGGGAGGGAGGGAGGAAGGAAGGAAGGAAGGAAGGAAGGAAGGAAGGAAGGAAGGAAGGAAGGAAGGAAGGAAGGAAGGAAGGAAGGAAGGAAGGAAGGAAGGAAGGAAGGAAGGAAGGAGGAAGGAAGGAAGGGAGGAAGGAAGGAAGGAAGGAAGGAAGGAAGGAAGGAAGGAAGGAAGGAAGGAAGGAAGGAAGGAAGGAAGGAGGAAGGAAGGAAGGAAGGAAGGAAGGAAGGAAGGAAGGAAGGAAGGAAGGAAGGAAGGAAGGAAGGAAGGAAGGAAGGAAGGAAGGAAGGAAGGAAGGAAGGAAGGAAGGAAGGAAGGAAGGAAGGAAGGAAGGAAGGAAGGAAGGAAGGAAGGAAGGAAGGAAGGAAGGAAGGAAGGAAGGAAGGAAGGAAGGAAGGAAGGAAGGAAGGAAGGAAGGAAGGAAGGAAGGAAGGAAGGAAGGAAGGAAGGAAGGAAGGAAGGAAGGAAGGAAGGAAGGAAGGAAGGAAGTTTGAGACAATCTTGCATAAATGAGGCTGCTGTCCTCATTCTCTTTGAATCTTTAAATGTTGCTGCTTGAGAAGGAAAAAAAAAAAAAAAAAGAAAACAAACACAGGGCGTTGATCTGTTCGGCTTAGTTAGCCGCTCCACCTTGTGAAACGGCACAGAAACACAGGATCTAACCAGATCATATTTACATACATATTAATAAAGCTCCCGAGGTGGCAGTTCAGCCTTCACATACAGAGCAAGGATCTCTGTGAGTTCTCATTTTAGACTCATAAAAACAGATAAAAAGAGGTCTTTTGGGCTTCCCTGAATATTTTTCTGCAGTGGTTTTATATCATTTCTGAAAATTACATAGTTAAGTGGCATCAAATTTCTGGGTGATATAATAACTCAAAATGTGTATTTTTTTTTATCAAATCACTTTGCAGCCATAAACAGAGCTTCAGAACCTCAATTAGAGGAATGATTTGGTGGGGTTTTCATTTATGGCAAACAGTAAAATTGTTCTTGTTATCTATTCAAATATATATAAATTGCAACATTTATTCACTTGATTTTCTTTTCCATGACACCAGTGTATTTGAGAGTGCAGTGAAATTAAGGCTTAAAAGGATAATGTATTATCCTCTGCCCCATTCCCAAGACTTTTTGGAGTGAAGCAAAAGGGATGAAGACATTGCTGTGTTTTCAAGACATTTGGTGTCCTCTTATTTTTGGTAGTTGTGACTTGCTGATGTTTCTAGAAATGAATTCAGAAAATGAGATTTTTCTCAACGTTTACATTCTAAACCTTCTTGGAGTCCTTTCCTCAGTCAGTGACCTGTGAGTTCTTTTGCTGGGTTTTTTGTTGTTTTGTTGTTTTGCTTTTTTTTTAATTCACACAGAGTCCCTCATTTTTCTAATTCTTTCCAAGTGTCAAATGTACTAGATAACAGTTTTCCCCTGCACCTATTTTCAATAAAAATAAACAAAAGCAAAACAATGCCACTTCTCAAAAGAAAAAAAAAAAAAAGAAAAAAAAATACCAGAAAGAAAACCCCAACAAAACAAAAACAAAAAACCAAAAAGCATCATGGAACCGGCAAGCCAGAACAGAAGAAAAACACTGCTTTAATTTTGAAGCTTTTTTAAAAACATATAAAATGCAAGATGTTCTCCCTCTCCTTCCATCTTCTCCCTCTTTTAAGCTTCAGACTTTCTGACAGTAGATATTCAGTTGTGTTCCCACTGAAATAATTTGCAGGACCCTAGGGACT